GTATCATGTGCTCTATGATGTCATATATGATGTCATAGTCTGGCCCTGCCCTGCCCTGGGCCTAGGGTCCAGAATTGACTGGCCTATGGCCTAGTGCCTGAGCCTAGCTCCTACCTATGATGTCAGAATGATGTCATGGTCCAGAAGGAGTCTGGTTTCTATCTAGAAAAGGTCCGGCATCAGAGTCCAGCCTGATGTGTCCAGAACAAGATCATGTGTCGCTTATTTAAGCGGATAACCCCTTAGATATGTAGATGTACCCATATGCGGACGGATAAGTATGGATAAGTCCCTATACCCTTTGATATGTCCGCAGAAATAGCGGAAAAATTAGGTAAAATTAGGGAAACTGTGACACAGTCGTCCAATGCTTCGATGATCGCGAGCATCTCCTTATCGTAGATCTTGTAGTTACGCTGGGCAGGGTCCATAGCGTGAGATCGGTAGGCGATGGGATGCCATTTGCCGTCGTCCTGCTTCTGCATCAGCACACCGCCAGTGGCGTAGCCCGAGGCGTCAACCTCAATGCGCGTCTCTCGATTAGGATTGTAAAGCGCTAGGACTGGAGTCGTCGCAAAGAGCCACTTGAGCTCATCGAAAGCGTGCTGCTCTTCTTCGCCCCAATGCCATGGGTCGTTCCCTGTGAGCTGGTCGAGTGGTCGCGAGATCTTAGCGAAGTCTTTGATGAAGTGGCGGTAGAAGTTGGAAAACCCCCGGAACTTCTGAACATCTTTCTTGTTCCGGGGTACCGGCCACTCATTAATTCCTTTTAGCTTCGCGGGATCCATCGCCACCTCATTGCCACCGAACACATAGCCGACGTAGTCGACTTTGGGAATGTCCCACTCGCACTTCTCAGGCTTCAGGAACAGATCATTATCCTGAAGGCGACATAGAACCTCGCGTGTGACCTTCTCATGCTCCTCTTTGTTGGTGGAGAAGATGAGTATGTCGTCTAGGTACACAAGGATCTTGCCACCGACGATGAGATCGTGGAAGATCTCGTTCATCATTGCCTGGAAGGTTGCAGGGGAATTGGTGAGACCAAAGAACATCACCAAGGGCTCGTACAACCCTCGGTTAGTCACAAAGGCCGCCTTCCACTTATCACCGGCTTTGATCCGGATGTTGTTGTACCCCCATCGGACATCGAACTTCGTGAAGAGCGTAGCGCCTCGGAGCTTATCCACCATCTCGGCGATCAACGGCAAGGGATAACGATTCTTGACCATGATCGCGTTCAATCGGCGGTAGTCCTGCACAGGTCGAAGCGTCCCTTCCTTCTTTTTGATGAAGAAAAAGGGGGACGAAATGGGCGACTTCGACTCCCGTATGTAGCCTTTTGCCAGTTGCTCCTTTAGGAACTTGTCCAGTTCCTCCTGCTTGTTGTTCGACAAGGGATACACTTTAGAGTGGAAGGTCGAGTAGCCGGGCACGAGTTCGATAGCGTGATCATAAGGCTTCCTTTCGGGTAGCCGTTCTGATGCTTCCTTGGAGAAGACATTTAGGAACTCGTGGTACTGTTCAGGTACCGACTCCTCGGTGGTCTTAACGACCTTCTTTTTGATCTCCTCCTCAGCAAACAGCTGGGAGTACGTATGTCCTGCTGCGACAAACAGCTGAGGAGCGCCGGGAAGCGTGATACCTTGCTCCCAGGCTTCGATCAAATCGGCCTCATCCCACTCCACTTCTGCCGGATTTTCTTTGGGTTCGAAGTCCGGAAGTATCTTACTCCGGCAAGCACCTATAACCGACCGTCTGGACTTCGGCGAACGCCTGCACGCCGTGGGCCTGACCCCCGTATCACGCGCAGTCGCTGCTTGTTCCATCTGGCCAGTCCTCCTGGCACTGCACGTTTCAGGGCATCGTGACAATTTGAGGGAGCCTTTCTCCCAATCTATTTCGGGGTTGTGCTTGCGTAGCCAATCCAACCCGACAATCACGTCCTCTGGACCGATGTCCGTGACCGTAAACACCGTTTTCTCAATGTGCTCTCCTACATGCATCTGTAGCACTGCTACTTCCGAGATGCTTCCGTCCTTGTTCAGGGTGCCGTCGATATTATAGAGCGGAATAGGCTCCTTCAGCCTCCGCGTCTGCACCTTGTTCTCTACTATGAATCGCTTGTTGATAAACTTCGTGGTGGCTCCGCTGTCCACCATAGCAATTATGTCCTTGTGCCATCTTTTCCCTTGAAGTCGTACTGGGATGTGAAAATGTTGGGACCCCTGGTCCAATTCGTACACCATTGCAGTCAACAATACATTATAACGATTACATGATATACCCGGCCCGACGCGTGCGGCACGAAGCGCGGACCGGATCAAAAACCCTCCTCCTTCATCGCCCGATAGTGCTCGAGCTCCTCGCGCATCGACTTCACCTGTGCCATTAAGTCCGCCAGCTCCGATTGCTCGGATTTCGCTGAAGCGGCACTTATACTTGCCGAGGGTGTCGTTGTGATGGGGGCGCTTGTCGCAGCCTGGGTGGAGCCCGAGGCAACCGTAGCCCGCGCGTCGGCGCGTTTTGTGTAAGGTTTGTCCTTACAATTGGGGCACTCAAATCGTCGGTACCCTTGCTTCCCACAGCCGAAGCATGTGCCGGGGAAGTTGCATTTTCCAACGGCCGCATTGATGCTGGCCGAAGCTGCGTGTGACTGGGGGGCACCACCACGTGCCCCACCGCGTCCTCGACCTCAGGCCGAGAAGAAGTTATTTAGTTCGGGCCGATGGGCCTGGCTGATGTCGAGAATCTGCTCGACCTCAGTGGCGCGCTTCTCAGCTGCTTGCCACGTGGTGAAGGTCTCGAGCTCGATCTTCCGGTACACACGGGAGGGGATGCCGCTCAGGTACTTGTCGCGTAGCTCCAGGTCCCCATACCCAGAGCGATCCGCCGGACCCTTGAACAGCGCGGAGAACTCCGCAGCGGTGCGTTTTTCACGGACCGACTTGTCCGCGCAGAGCTTCGCCAGCTCTACTTGTGCTGCCGCCTCGTCGTCGAGATTTCCGAAGCGGGCCCTGAAGGCGGCGGCAAAGGCCGCTTCGTTCGCGAATGGGGTTGTGGCCCCTTGCACTCCTATCTGCACCAACACGAGCTGGGTGAAGTAAGGAGTGGCCCAGGCGCGAGCGTCTCCATCGAGCAGGCTTAGTGCGACCTGTACCTTAAGCTCAATGGTGGTCAACGATGTGTTGATCAGCCAGTAGATGCGCAGCTGTGATAGGAACCGGTTGCACTCGATGACGGTTTTGCCGTCGTATCGGAGTGGGAGGAGGAGTTTCAACGTCTCCTTGTCGGGGACGGCTGCAGGGGACAACATTATCGTTGTCGGGGGGGACGGAGGACGTTGCGGGGGCGGAGGCGGCTGTGGTGGCCCTCTGCTGGTCAAACTTCGGGAGGAGCGAGTGCTCGAGCGGCCTCTCGGCGGAGTCGGCGGTGAAGGCACCGGAGAAAGTTCGGAGGAGGGGTTACGTACGTCAGGGACTGCTGACGTGGGGCAAGCGCTGTCGGCGAGGCGGGCTGAGCAGGATCTGCGGACTCGGACTCCAAGACTCCTTCTTCACTGTTACCCTCCTCAGGCTCAAGCTCTGGCGCAGGGTCTGGAGGGAGATCTCCTCGCGCTTGATCGGCGACAGTTTGAGGGAGTCGGGAGCTGGGGGAGACAGGGCGAGAATGCCGCAAGGCAGATTGAGACGTGAGGGTGCTGCGGGGACCGAGCGGATGTTGCGCTCGTCGGATCGCCTTGTAACGAGGGTAATTGTCACGAGTTGGTACGGCGCCTAGCCGTTTTTTAATTTTTTCCTTTTCGCGGGCTCGAACCCGTGACCTCTGTACTACCTGCCTGATATGGACGCGTCACTATCTACTGTACGATTAGATTAGATGGGGCGGCAGCGCACGGCACAGCTCGGGCCCCGCTGACACAGCCGCTCGGACTCACCGGCCCCCGGGGCCGCGTCGGCATGCTGCGCACAGACCAGCTGCGCACGGACCAACGTGCACAGCCTGCCCTAATCTCCCCATGTATATAAGCCGGCCTCTGCTGCCCTAGGGACCTCAGTTTCGACCTCTTGTCCCTAGGTCAGTAAGCCCCTCATGTATTCTCTTTCCTACTTAACTAACTAATACATTTCTTGTCCCTAGCCTTAGGTTTGAGCCTCGCTCACCATCGCTTCGGTGAGAACCAGTCGGACGCCCCTCGCTTCTCGATATTTCCCTGTCGCTTGACCTCAAGTCGCGACATTAGGTCGAAACTCTCCCAAGCGACCGGCGTTCTCTCAGAACCCACACACTCACACTTTCCTTTCCCATAGGTCGGGTGGTGCGCACCCTTACGATACCATACGATACGTAGATAGCCTACATTACATCGCCAACACTCAGGGAATGAACCTTTCAGCACCTGCACTTCAGTGGGCGGTGCTTGTCCTTAACCGGACGCGTGGACTAGGTTCCTGCTGCATACTAGCCAAAAGCAGTACTGGGCCCCACGTGAACTGCGAACCCTAGTGTCTTCTTGGGCGCCGTAGCGTAAGCTAGCATAGCACGGCCATTGTAGTACGCGCACCTCCCCGTCCTCCCCCCCATCCAACGTGGCTGCCTGCCAAGGCCAGATCCACGCATTCGACTCCCAGGACCTCATCGACATCTACATCCCAGACGGCCCTGAGACTATCCTCTACCGTTGCGAGCAGCAGCCGTGCCCAAATCGGACACCCCGATCGATCGAGGAGGATTACCCTCGCTACAAAGCGATCCGACGAGCGCAACACCCGCTCGGACCCCGAAGCACTCTCGCATCTCGATCGGCCTCGCGGCACTCCCGCCCTGTCTCCCCTACCTCCCGCCTCCCTCAAACTGTCGCCAATCAAGCGCGAGGAGATCTCCCTCCAGACCCTGCGCCAGAGCCTGAGCCTGAGGAGGGTGATAGTGAAGAAGGAATCTCGGAGTCCGAGTCCGCGGCTCTTGCTCGGCCCGCCTCGCCGACAGCGCTCGCCTCCGCGTCAGCAATCCCTGACGTACGTAACCCCCCTGCCGAACTTAAAAGGAAGCCTTATGATCACGCGATCGAACTTGTGCCCAGCTACTCGATGTTCTACTCGAAGGTGTATCCCCTGTCGAACAATGAGCAGGAGGAACTCAACAAGTTCCTAAAGGAGCAGCTGGCAAAAGGCTACATACGGGAATCAAAGTCACCCATTTCGTCCCCCTTCTTCTTCATCAAAAAGAAGGAAGGGACACTTCGACCCGTGCAGGACTACCGCCAATTGAATGTGATCACCGTCAAGAATCGTTACCCACTGCTGCTGATCGCCGAGATGGTGGATAAGCTCCGCGGCGCTACGCTCTTCACAAAGTTCGACGTCCGATGGGGATACAATAATGTCCGGATCAAGGCCGGTGACGAATGGAAGGCGGCCTTTGTGACTAACCGAGGGTTGTACGAGCCCTTGGTGATGTTCTTTGGTCTCACCAACTCCCCCGCGACTTTCCAGGCAATGATGAACGAGATCTTTCACGATCTCATCGTCGGCGGCAAGATCCTTGTGTACCTGGACGATATACTCATCTTCTCCACCAATAAAGAGGAGCATGAGAAGGTCACACGCGAGGTTCTGCGCCGCCTTCAGGATAATGACCTATTCCTGAAGCCTGAAAAATGTGAATGGGATGTTCCCAAGGTCGACTACGTCGGCTATGTGTTCGGTGGCGATGAGGTGGCGATGGATCCCGCGAAGCTAAAAGGAATTAATGAGTGGCCGGTGCCCCGGAACAAAAAAGATGTTCAGAAGTTCCGGGGGTTCTCCAATTTCTACCGCCGCTTTATTAAAGACTTCGCTAAGATCTCGCGACCACTCGACCGGCTCACAGGGAACGACCCATGGCATTGGGGCGAGGAAGAGCAGCACGCCTTTGATGAGCTCAAGCGGCTCTTCGCGACGACTCCAGTCTTGGCGCTGTACGATCCTAATCGGGAGACGCGCATTGAGGTTGACGCCTCGGGGTACGCCACTGGCGGTGTATTGATGCAGAAGCAGGATGACGGCAAATGGCATCCCATCGCCTTCAGATCCCATGCGATGGATCCGGCACAGCGGAACTACGAGATCTACGATAAGGAGATGCTCGCGATCATTGAGGCACTGGACGATTGGCGCCACTATCTCGAGGGGTTACCCAATCAGTTCGAGATCGTGACCGATCATAAGAACCTCGAGTACTGGCATACATCCCAGCATCTCACACGCCGTCAAGCGCGATGGTCGCTGTTCCTAGCTCGCTTCGACTTCCGCATCACGCACAAGGCCGGGACATCCAATGGAAAGGCTGATGCCCTGTCGCGTCGATCAGACCATCAGATCGGCGATGAGGACGATAACACCGATCAGGTGGTTCTCAAGCCAGAGCGCTTCCGCATCGCCTCCGCCCGGCGCGGCCATGCCTCCGTGACAGCTGATCAGTCGCTTCTGAAGCGCATCAGAGAATGTTCGGAGAAGGATCGGGAGGTGGCCGAGGCACTTGAAAAGGTACAGGACCTAGGGCCGCCCCGGCTGCAAAGGGGTTTTGAGGAGTGGAATGCCGAACAAGGGCTCCTGCTGTTCCGTGGGTGCGTGTACGTCCCAAAGAATGCGGAGCTCCGGCGGGATATAGTCAAGATCCACCACGACTCGCCGATCGCTGGCCATGGCGGTCGTGCCAAAACCCTGGAGCTCGTATCGCGGAACTACTGGTGGCCAGGAATGTCTAAATTCGTCAATGAGTACGTAAGCACCTGTGACGTGTGCAACCGTACCAAGACATTCCCAGCCAAGCCCCAGGGTCCGCTGAAGCCGAACGAGATCCCCAAGCGCCCGTGGCAGGTTATCACGACCGACATGATCGTCGGCTTGCCAAAGTCTGATGGATTCGACTCGATCCTGGTTACCGCCGACCGCTTCACCAAGCAGGTCCACTTCTCAGCCTGTCATGAGACCCTGACGGCAGAAGGTGCGGCAGACCTGTACATCCGCGATGTGTTCAAGCATC